TGTATGTAAAGCTGGGCACACACTCTGTGTTTCCATGCATTTATTTATGTCTATATGTAAACCTTGCCCACTCATGGACCACTTAAGGCTTATTTTAAAAAAAAATTAATCCTGGCCTCTGCCAAACCACGCTGCTGCCTTCCTTGAACCCGGCCTTTTGCTGTTTGCTGTTTTTAAAAGCCAGCAGAAGTCAAGAGACAGCTTTTAAAGCAGCTCAGGGCTTTGTTTTTTTCCTTTTTTTTCCCCCTCACACAATCATGAATCTGTTTGCTTTTCAATGCCACCAAGGAGTGAAATGTTTGGTGTTCAAAAAGCTGAACCTCTGATGGTTCTATTTACTGGTGAGTGAGAGCTTGGAGGTCCTGTTTGTTTGCAGAGAGGTGAAACTACTCAGGCAGCTCCAGCACCAGGAGAACTTGTTCATCCTCCATAATGACGCTTCATGGAAATCATTTGTATTAAGCAAGCCCTGGTAATGGGAGCATAATGACCCCTTTTGGCTCTTGTTTAAATTCTTTCACTTCTCAACACTAATATTAATCACAAGCAGATGGTGCAGAACATTATTTATGCACACTTGTTTCCCAAACCCAAAAAATATTTAACCCATTAAGTGGAGTGGGTGATGAGAGCGAGGGGCTGATTTGCTGGTGAGCTGATTGTCTCCCTGCTCTCAGCAGCAGAAATTTTGTGCAGGGCTCTCCCTTCCTTTCCTTTTGCAGGAAGTGAGCGCAGCCACTGAAAAGCACAGCAGATATTGGGGTGAATTCCCTGATTTTGTGGTGTTTGGTCCTGCAGGGTTTGTGTGGCTGCCCTTGCTCTGCAGGGTCCCCAACCTGCCCTGCCCATCCTTGAGGGGCCGATTCCCCAGCGCTTTCTCATTTTAGGATTTTCTCATGTTTTCAGCTTTGTTTGTGGGGGGGTTTCAGGGTCCTTTTTGTGGCAGCTAAAAGCAGAACCGGTCAGAATCAGTTTTCCCCTAAAAGTTGGGAGCAGCTGCCCATGCTGGGATGGACACCAGCATTCCCTGTGTGCTCCTGGGGCTCATTCCAGCCCAGCTCCATCTTTTTAGGAGGAAGGTGAGGCAGGATTGTTCTGCCCCTTGTTCAGGATTCAGGAGAGAGCCTCTGCTGTGCTCAGCACGTCTGCTTGGATTTAGCAAAGTCACTCAGCTCCAGAGCAGGCACAACTCCATCAAAAGCGCAGCACGTGGGTGGAATTCCTAAAGATGGAGATGAGCAAACAAACTGAGCTTCTGCATGCCCAGGACTGGGGTTTTTTGAGGGGAAATTGCAGGATTTGCAGGAATTACAGTGCCAGCAGTGTTGATGCCTCACTTACAAAGTACTGATCCACCTGGGGTCTGCAGGAACTGTTGGGTGCTGCCATTGTTAATCTGGATTTTTAGCTCAAACAGAGGCAGGCTTTAATCAGCTTCTTAATTGAGGTTCTGCATTTCTCCATCGCAGAGACAAATTAAGGCAGCTCCTGTGGTCCCAGCAAACAGCTGCTAAAGCAAGGCAAACCTAATGATAAACAAAATTAGGCTCTTCTCTAGTTGGGTTTCATCCATCTGCCCCCAACCAGTGCTCACTTGGAGGGGAGGCAGATTATCTGGTTTTGGAATGGACATGGATGGTTTATTTAGGGAATTCCATCTTTTTTTCAGGCTGATTTTGCAGTTTGGTGAAATCCCTGTGAGTTCAGGGTGAATCCCTGTTCAAATGCAGTAATTCTGTTTTTCCCTATGTAATTCCATCCTTTTTCAGGATGATTTTCCAGTTTGTCAAAATCCCTGTGAGTTGTTTTCCTGCCCATCAGTGCACTTGGTTCCAGATTCCAGATTGGTGTCACCTGCAGGTTTAATGATGTGGATTTTTGGTATTGTATAAAGTCATCTGTGTAAATACCATCTCATATCTGTGTGGAGATGATGTGTTTTATGTATTTTTTATATATATGGAATTTTATCTGTGCTGCTGGCTTACACTGCCTTTGAAATAGGTATTTGTAATGGATATTTGTGCCAATGCTCCCTGGATATTTGGGTTCGCCCTGTGCAAGGCCAGGAGCTGGATTTGGATGTGGCTCCCTTCCAATGGAGGATATTCTGTATAAATGGTGTATTTATTACCCAGGATAATGCGGTTTTTCCCCCAAACAGATGTGAAGCCCTCCAACATGCTGGTGAACACGCGGGGCCAGGTGAAGCTCTGTGACTTTGGGGTCAGCACCCAGGTAAATCCCCCCTGTATTCCCCTCAGCAATCCCCTCTCTGTGGGACAGCCCTTTCAGCTTTAATCTCCAGGCGACTTCTCCTCCATCTGAATATGATTGTTCATTGTTTAATGACAGTAAAAACTGCTGATATTGTAATTACTACTTACGAATGGCAAACTTCATTGAAATGCAGCTTTGATCTGGGAGCCTTTTGCCCAGACAAAAGGGAGGGCAGAGCAAGAGACGTGTCTGGGGAGCCCAACTGGCCCACAATAAAAATTAATATTGGGAGCAACAATAGTGGTGGGCTTTGACAATGTGCAGCACAAATTTTAATTAATTTCCATTTTGGGCCTCCCTGGAGGACTTCTCTGCTAGTGACCCATGAGCTCGCTGTGCTGTTGATTTGAATTTCAGCACCTTTTCCTCTCAGCCAAACACGAGGCCCAAAGAGAAGGTCAGCCTGGTATTATGGGCTGGCAGGCTCCGTTGTCCCTCCAGTGTTTCAGGGATGAATTGGGGCTTTATTCACATCTGACTGGAAAATGAGCGTGCTCAATCCCGCTTCCTCCTAATTCACTTTTTATATCGCACTGGTGTGGGGTACTGAAACGAGCAGCATCCTGTTTAACACAATTGTTTAAGGTTATCTGCCATAAACTGTAATGCAGCGCTTGCTTAAATTGGAATCCTCATTCCCCAACCCAGGCGAGATTTAATCATTTTTAACGCCTTGGCGGATAAATCCCTTCCCTTTCTTACATCATTTTTGGTTGATTTATAGGGATGATGATTGTAGGTTAAATGAGGAATAATTGCCCATTTTATTTCCACATTATCTTTATATTGTTCTAACAGCCTGTTTTGTCTGATAGCTGGTGAATTCCATAGCCAAGACGTATGTTGGAACAAATGCTTATATGGCGGTAAGTGATGCAGGAATCACATTTCAGTGCAATTATTTGTCCTCACTCTTGTTCTGTTCAGTGCAGGAGATTCCCTAAATCAATCCTCAAATCTCCATCTCTTCTTCATTCTGTGGGACAACTCTGCTTCTTGTGAGAGGGAGGACGAATAGTGGAAAAGTGGTTTTTTAAAATATATTTTCTGTTGGTTTTGCTCCTTGTGACAATTGGGAACAAAAAGCCAGTTGGACATTGAAAAAAAACCCATTTTTTTATTCTCTACAGATCACTGACAGCCCAGGTTTTGGGAATGCTGGAGTTTAGGGAAGCATTGTGCAGAGGTTGATGGGCATTCCTCAAAATCCCATGGAAATCTGAACCTAAAAACATTGGGATTAATAACATCAGGGCATTAAAGTGCAAGGTTTTTAGCTCAAAAAAGTCATCACTACTTCCACTTCTCTGTACAAATTTTGGTCAGTCTTTGTTAACACGAGACCACTTTTGTCCTGTTCATTAAAGCCCCTAAATTCCCTTTTTTTTTAAAGATTTTTTTTAGCACATTGTTAGAGATTCATCATTTGGGGCTGGGTTTGGGTTCAGAGCTGCCAAGTGCCAGCCTGAGCAAACCAGAGTGGATTTTCTGCACAAATTTCCCTGCACAAATCAGAATGGATTTTCCATTTTCCATCAGATCCATTGGATCCTTTTCAATTCCCCATTTCAGCTGTGAAAACTCCACAGCCCCAGTTTTTAAAGCACTTTCTGAACTCTTATTTTGGCCCTTAAAATCCTTTGAGCAAACTGCCCCTGATATTGCTGAGAGCAGAAGTGCTCTGCTGGTTTAAAATAAAAATATAAACAGCACAAAGTGGTTGGTGCTCATGTTTTTCAAACCTCAGGGAAGGGGAGGGAGAAATCCATGACCTTTAATCGCTTTCAGGTATTTTTTTCTGATTTTCTTGTCAGGGTTCCCATTTATTTGCTAAGTGCTTTTCCACTCGAGCTCATTGTGTGGCTTCTGAAAGGCTCAAGTCACCATCCTAGAAAGACTTGGGCTGTCCTGTGTCATCAGAACGCTCAGAAACAGCATAAAATAAATACTTCAGAACAGCAGAAAAATGGGAGGTTTTAAATAAAAAACAGAGATAAAAAAAAAGAGCTGGAACACAGAGATCCAGACAAAGAAACAGCTTCAAATTAATCAACTTTTCCAGCTCAGCTGTTGCTTCAAACTGGTCTTAAGCAGGGCTGAGAATTAAATTGTATTATGCTTTTAGTGGCCAAACCAAGATTACAGTTCTCTTTCCCAGGTGTGCATTAAATAAATTGCTTTTTTTGCCTTTCTGGATGGGTGTGATGCCTCCATCTCTCGATTGTGAAACAGAAGTTTAAGCTCAAAATGTGCTCGAGCTGATTTTCTGTGTTAAAATCACTTTGCTTCCTGATTGAGTCGTTTGTTTGTCATCAAATTTCCAGGCAAGCCCTCAAAAAATAATGAAGGTCATAAGCTTTGCTTCACCCTCTTGGCAGCCTGGCAGGGAATGTGAAACTCTTGAAAAAATTGAGGTTTTCTGTGAAAAAAAGAAAAGGCTTTTTGGTTTTTTGGTGTTTTTTTGAAAACAAAAAAGGCTTTTTGATTGAGAAATTAAAATTTCCAACCAAAACACATTTTCTTAAAATCATTTCAGCTGCATTTTATATAGAAAAAAAAATTGGATGAAAAAATAATCAGTTCTAGAAATTTTTAAGAGAAAATACCTTGGGCTGTGTATTTAGAGTGATCCATGTGTTGCAACCTTGATGCTTCTGTTATTCCTTTTTTCCTCTTCTTTTCTGTACTTTTAAATCCATCTTTTGTTTAAAAAGCTGATTTCTTTGCCGTTATCTTTTGTGAACCCACAGTTCCTCACTGGAACTTGCTGTTTTAGAGCTTGAACTTTAAGAATGAACAATTTAATATTGCATAATATGAATTATAAATCTCATTTGGTGGCTTGGGAAGGGTATCAAAAATGGGATGGGTGTTGGCACCTTGCTTGGGCCAGGTTAGCCCATCCCAAATCCCATTATAAAATTACTTTTGGCTGCACATCTGCACCTTTGTGAGGATATTTATTAGCATAAAAATATGTCAATATAAAAATACATCACTATAAAAAGATGTCAGTGTAAAAATTTATCAGCTCAAAAAAATCACACGCAACATTTCTAAATGTGCTGACCTAGGTTAATTATACTCAACGAATTAAAAAACAATAAAATAAGATTTTGGGGTCTGTCACGAGTGAGATTTGGTGAAATTGTGGGGATTTTGGGGGGTTTTGGATGGTTGTTTTTAGCAGGAATATGGGCAGCAGCGTGGTTTTTATTTAACATTCACGCTGCGATAAAAGCTCCTGACCTGGGAGTAGCAGCGCAGGGTAAAAATCCAAACCCACATTGGAGTGGCACTAATTTGGGAGTTTGTTTTCTAACAAAGGTCTCTGGGTTATTAAAGAGTGAAAATCCTTTGTAGGTGTCTGGCCCAGACAGGTGCATTAACAGCACAGTGGGGAGAGGAGTCCCAGGGAGCCTTTTATTGTTGCATTTCATGCTGTACTTGACCTTGGAAATGCTTAAATTGTAGCTTTCAAGTAAAAACCAGCAGATATTTTTTACAGCACTCCATTTCATGAAGCATTAAACCTGCTATTAATAGTTTGGAGCAGGGGCTTTTTTTTTTTTTTTTTTTTTTTTTTTTTTTTTTTCTCCCCTACAGGTCAAAAAGCCCAAAATTAAGAAGTATATAAAATAAAGTTGCCACCGTGTGGTGATTCTTTTGGCTTCAGCAGCTTGGCTTTTTAACTGTGGTTATTCCCCAACCCTCTGGGCTCCACACTGGGAATTTTTTCCTTGCTGTGGTGCTTGGAATTGGGGAGGAAAGTGGAAAATTGGATTCTCTCAACTTGACCTTGTGCTTTGCTCACATGCACGAGCCCTTGGATTAAACAGCCCCAACACAAATCCAAGGCCAGCCTTGCAAGGACCCAGATTTTCCTGAAGAATTCCTGGATTTTCCTGGATTTGCTTTGAAGCATCGTGGTGGTTTTTGGTGCCTCCAGGTGCCACGGGGCAGCTCCAGTCTCTGCTCTGGGCTGGGTGACAGAGCCTGGGGAAGGGCTGGAGCTGGGCCAGGGCAGCTTTAATGGGATTTTAGGATAAATTTCCTCCCCCAGTGTCCGGTTTTCGGCTGTTTGNATACATTAAAAATTGAAGCTTTCCTCACTCCCAGGCCTTGCAAGGCTTTGTTCTTAAGCCCCAGACACTTTGGAGTGCAGCTGCAAACTATAGGCTCTCTGTTTTTTTTTTGTTTGTTTGTTTTTTTTTTTTTTCCTTTTTTTTTTCTTTTTTTTTTTTGTCGGGGCCCTGCATTACTAAATCCTGCACATTTAATTGAAACCCTACTTCAAGATGCTTTGTGTTTCTGTTCCTCTTTGTTGTCAGTTTAACCTCAGAAGCACTTTAACTCTGCTAAATTGCTGTTATATCCTTTTGGATTTTTTTTTTTTCTTTTAAAAAACCCTCTGCAATAAGAGGACAGCAGAATTGATATGAGGAGGAGAAGAAAAATCTTGGAGGAGTTTTTTGAGGTATTTAATATTTATTAGGGTCCGTACCCTGCAGAGTTTCAGGTGATTTGAAGCCCATCTATCTAGGAATGCATAAATTGGTCTTGGAGTGGAATTTCACCTGGGGAATTTTGTGTTATCCAGTAGTTAAGTCTGCTTTTGAAAGTTTGAGTGCAGCAGAGTGGCGGCTGCTTTTCCAGAAAATGAGGGTTTAACTGCAGTGCACAATCTAAATGCAAAATCCTGGGATGGAAATTTAATTGTGTAAAATGTGCACGAGGTAATTAAGAACAAATTTTAGAACATTTCAGACTATAAAGTCCTCCTTCAGCTCCATCACTGGCGATATTGCCAGCGCTTATTTTCAATTTGCAGTTATGCTGAGAAACATGGAATGTGCCTAAATTAAGAATAAAAGCATCCCCTGCTCTCCAGTGTAACTGTAAATTAAAAAACAACTTGCACAACATCGACAATAATCTAAGTGGGAAACTTTATTGCCTGAGTGTCCTAAAAATATGTTTTGAACTTCCTTCCCTCAGCCACTTTGCAGGCAGGATCCAGACAGAGCTGCTGCTGTAATTTTATTCCCAATGTGCAGCAGGCAAGGAAGAAGCGAGCTGGAGGAAGTGATGTGTAAGGGGGAATTTCTGATTTCCCTCTTCAGTTCTGCAATGACAAATTGCATTATTTCAACAAGTGATTTGAATTTTGGGTTCATTATCTGCACCTTAAGAGTGTTTGAGAGCAGGTTTTAGTTGCTTTCCAGCCCCCAGAGGTTCTTCCTGAATCAACACTTAATTGCTTGATTTTTTAAAATCAAAACTTTTTGATAGTTTGGTATAAGTCAGTGCACACATGCCCACTGCACCTCTGTTATTCCATAATCTGGGATTATTTCTCAGTTTATCAAGTTCTGGTTTGAAATCTGCTGGTGCATCCCACCCATCCATCCCCTGGCCGAGCTCTTTCTCAGGCCAGAACCTCCCTGAGCTGCTTTAATTGCTCTCCTGAGCTGCCTCTGTGTTTGAAAAAGTAATTGTTCTAAAAAACCCCCACCCACACCCCAAAAATCTCCTCCATGGAGCTGCTCTGGGGTGAAATGGGGTGAGAAAGGGTTTTCCTAATATTGTGGGTGATTGATCCCCCTCTCATTTCTTTCCTTACCATTCTGCCACTGGGGGTCACTTTTGAAAATGAAAGTTTTTCACAGTTATTGTGTAAGAAAAGTGCTCAAGATCATCAAATGCAACCATTGGGAAGGGATCCATGGGGAAATGGGAAGCAGCTCCCTGGATTTCTGGCATTCCCTCCTCAATGTCCAGACATAAAACCCTGATTGATTCCCAAACCCACCTAATTTAAGTTGAAATGTTGTATTTTTGTTAAAATACCTTAAAAGAGTTGCAGGTTCTGGAGTTTCATCCTTTAAATGCAGAGAAGTTTTGGACAGTGTGTTAATTTGGTAAA